ACTCTTTCTAAATTGGAGACATATGGCAGATTTAAATACGCATCCCGCAGGTAAACAACATTTGAGGACGCCACACACCTGCCATAGAATATATCACGGTACCGGATTGATACCAAGGGAACCCAGACATTTAAGCCCCTCAACCATTTATAAAACCAATTAAGGGAACAGTCATAAACATACAAACTCACAGGGAAAAGCCAGTCTTCTTATACAAACAGTCTTCTAACAAAAAGGGAATTTATTACTATTTTTTTATCCACCATATAAACAAAGACATTTCATATATATGGCGCGGAGAATCCTTCCTCACCGGAGTTCTGCTCGGCAGCAGCGCGCTCTCTGCTGCCACTGGTGGTCGGACGATGTATTACAACAATGTGGCCCAAAGTATGTATATATAAATAAATAAAAATATCCATCCATCCATCCATTTTCTACCGCTTAATCCCTGAACGGGGTCACGGGGGGGGAAGGTAATCCCGGCCGGCAATCGGGGGAAGGCGGGGTACACCCTGGACAGGTCGCTATGTTTTTTATTTTTTTTTAAAGGCTTTTAGCCATGCTAACTGCATAAACTTACTAGTGTACTCTTACCTTTGTTATCAAAGCTCCTAAAATAGCAATCACAAAAGTTCACATCTTATTCATTCTGTTACATTATATTTCCTATAACACTGATCTCCCTACATTAAGGTCTACAACTGTTATCAAGGCTATGATGGCAGTACGTGCTGGGCCAAGGGCCAGCACCAGGATAACAAGATAAAGTACATGTGCAGATGGAAGCAGGAACAAAGTGGGAGCTCTGTGGTGCTTTCTTCCAGTTGCCATCCTGCAAAAATCCCTGGGATTTCATTCTGGGAATGAAGGTTGGCAGCAGGCCTCAGTGTTTAGCCAACAGCTGGCATCCAGTTATCAGAAAAAACACATGAAATCATACCAGAGCTACATGGAGCATGTGCAGTCTATTAAGCCTGATCCACAGGCCAATGGACAGAGCTGGAGACAAAACAACACTGATATTTTCAGTCAGTTATATTAGTGGTGGAAGAAGTGGTCAGATCCTTTACATAACAGCACCACTACAAAAGTACTAGTAACAATCCTGAATTTAAATATCTACTTAAGTAAAATTACTTATGCAAAAAAGTATTTTTGCAGAAAATCATTATACCCGACAATAACAATAAACTAGGCTTTCAGTCCTAATGCACCAAAGCCTCAGCAGCATTTTAGCTGCTTGAGATGGAGTTAGCTGTAACTATTTTATGGTACCCAACCTAGGGGTTGGGCCCCTCCACAGGGTCACCAGATAAATCTGAGGTGATTAATGGGAGAAGAAAGAAGAAAAGTAAAGTTATACTACATAAGTTTCAGACTTTTCTCTAAACCCTTGCCTGAGACTGAGTTTTAGCTGGATGTTCATAATCAACTGACAACTGTGTGTACATGATGTTTTTACAGTGAGTCAAACACTCAGACTGCAGGGCAGGACTTAAAGTTTTAAATAGTGTTGAAACTAGTTATTAAGGTTATTTTAAGTTTTCAATTGTGTTTACAGATGTCTTCCATATTTTGTCCTGGGTGTTGTAGACAGTAATCTTAGTCTTAAAATGCTTTAGTGTGTGTGCAGACTATTGAGTTGTTTGCTGCTTATGTGGGTCCAGGTTGTGTTTAAATACCGTTATATGCTCTGGGAAGCACCGACAAAAAGTCATATTATGGGTCACATCATCCCTGAGTGCATAGTTTCAAAGAGCCAGAACTGAAAAGATAAAACAAAGCACTGACACAGTGTTGAAAAGATAAAACAAAGCACTGACACACTGCCAGTATGCAGCACTGACTGGGTGTGTGACTCTGTGCTTCCTGACATAATTCTGGTGACAGTGATAACACTAACGTCTGCACGTGCATGGAAACACAGCAGCTGTGGACTGAACACACACTACTGCACCAGCCATCAGTTGTTTTTCAGACCCATAATGATCCTTCAGTAGGGGCAACCTGCACCTACCAGCAGGCCAGCCATATCCAAAAAAACACAGAAAGAGTGAGCAGAACAGGAAACAGGCGTTTGTTTCTTGCTTCAAACCAAGAGTCTCTGTTGATACTTCGTCCCTGAACATAACCAGGCAGGTTTGTGCCTAAACCTGAAACACTCCTCGCTGATTATAATGACGAAGGTCCAGCACATGATAACAGCCGACTAGGTCTTGGAGTAGGACCCTACTAACCCACATCTGTGGTCTTGATAACAACTGATAACGTCCATGTAATGACTGAATCAAACAACAAGAACATGGGGAGACACTTGACTTTGAAAGTCCAGTGTTGATACTTAGATACTTGCTCCATTTCTGCAGATACAAAGTAAAGTTGTATAAGCCGTCTGTCTGTTTCTGGAAAGGGGGGTTGAATTTTGTTCAGTTTTAATGGTGTGAGCTTCACAAACTGAAGTTCACCTCCACTGTATTGAGGTGGAAGCAGAAAACTTTACCTGTATACCTGGACAAATAACACTCCTCTGTGGTGAGGTACCACTAGAGGGAGGGGGATACGGGGGGACTGGCCCCATCTCTGTGCAGTGCAGCTTTAACAGACACTAGTTCTGGGCCAGATAAACTGAGTCCTCTTGCCTCACCCCATTCTTGGAGAAGACGCTGTTCATCCACTTGGTGAAGGTTTTCTTCTGGACCGCCATCCTCTGCTCCTGCAGCTCCCTGACCCGCCCCGCCCCATCCTCCTCGTCCTGCATCCCGATTGGCTGAAAACACACAGAGGAAGCTTCAAACCCACCTAAAAGGAACTAAATTCAGCTTTACTTTTGTAGGAGTACCAAGATAAACAGAATAAATGAAAACACAAAACTGTAAGAATAACCACAGTGGGGAAAAAACACTACAAATGTTTATGCAAACATATACATAGGTACAGAATATGGATAAAAAACACAGCAAACCATAGAAAGAAGATACATACAACCTATATAAATGACAAGTACAAGACTACACGTGTACCACACACGTTAAAGGTGCATTTAATCAACTTTAAGTCCAGTTCAGCCTACTAGTAGTCTAGCAACCTTAGCTCCCACAGGGGTTTGTTTATTCATGATGTGTTTTGTTGTAGTCTGTAGTGGTTGGAGAGTGTGTTTTTTTTATCCACCTCAGCCTTGTGAGGTTTCCAGAGAGGCAGGTCTGAGGTAACCTGCTGCTCCTGTCGGTAACAAGCTGACTGACACTCAGTTGGTGAAAGGTTAACAGGACTCAACATGAAACTGAAGGAGAGTTGTACTGAAGAAGCAAATACATCTGTACTGATGTGACAGTTTGAACCTAAGACAAGGAAATGTCTCACATGATTTCACAGATTTTTATTGATGCTGACAGGAGCAGTTACACCTCAGATACAACTCTGCTGTAAAAATGCCTTAGCGGTCATAATCCATAGTGCTGTCACCTGCTCTGCTGTGTGTGTGTGTGTGTGTGTTTAAGGCCCATAGCGTTGTTGATCTTTGATTTCTTGGAGCGACACCAAAACATATTCATTCAGCTCTAAAGTCTGATGCTGACACCAGCCGGTGTCAAAGTTTCAGTCTGGGGATACTCTAGATTCACCTCATCAGTAAGAACAGTGTGCAGAGCCAAGCCAACAGTGACCTGAAGGACTGATGCATGTTCCTCTGGGCCAGAGCTCCGCTGCTGTTCAAAACCATTCAGACACATTAGAGGATCAAGTCATTTTCTAGATTTTCAACACTCCCCCTACAGAGACTAAGGTCTATGGCACAGACGAACCAGTTGCTCCAGGACTGACGGACTAATGGACATGACAGACGCTGGCGGTTTTAGTCTCTGTATGGGAAGTGTTGAAAATCCTGTTCATACAGAAACTGACCCTTTGAGTGCTGGTGTGTGAATTTAGTGAAGTATTCAAATCCTTTACTTGAGTCAAAGTTAAATACTACAAAAAGAAAATGTTGTGCTACAAGTACCTTAAAAGTATATAAGGTGAAGGTAAATACTTAAAGTATCAAAGTTCCTTATTCTGGGAGTTAAAAATACTAGTATTACAGTATGTTCTTACTGATGTACTCATGTGAATGTGCACAACTTTGCTGTTGTGAATCTTTTTGTTTAAGATGCAAGATCTATTGTTTATGATTTTTTTCCATGATTTATTATTCCTGCATAAAAACAAAGTTGAAAAAAACAAAACAAGTAATAAGCATTTAAAAAAGAAAATAAAGGAATAAAATTGTATACCAGAATAAAATATGTATACTGTATAACAAGCACACATGCACAGTCACACAGGGCCAGAATAACCTGACGATAATAAATCCTGCAGAATTACAGACGCCTGAACATGAAAACACTCGGGCTGAACAAAAATCTCAGATTAAGGCTCTAGAACAAGACGCATACAAGGACCAGAGGAACCAAAGGAGCTACCGGCTGTACCTAAACAGGTTTCTTACCATTCTGCCTCGTCCAGCCCGGTTATCTTGACTTCTTCAGCTCCAGAATCTGGGCCAGAGTGAGAGATCCAAAGACATGTTTACCTGGCTGACAACCAGTTTCATTCCTCTGTCTGAACAAATGTTAAAGTGTTTTCATGTGATGTGCAGTGTGTGTGAACTTTGAAGCCATTGGATTTACAGCATGAGCAGCTTCACTCACCTGACAGCAGCGGAAATGTGCAGGGTCAAAGTTCACACACACACACCCTCTTGCATAGCTATCTCTGTGAGGACATTCATCGACAATGCATTGCTGAGCCACTTACCTTGGCTGGCCACCCCAGCCCATCAGCTGTAGCCGCTTTCCCTGCTGAGTCCTGGAGCTGATCCCAGAACAGCGGGTCTGAACCCAGGACCCTCCAGCTGAGGTGACATTGTTAACTGCTAACTTTGGCTCGGTTGACAAAAACTGAATGCTACAGAGTCGGAAACCAAACAGGTTTCCAGCACATCAGTCTGTCTCCTTCCAGCCTGACGTGCATTTAACCTGGGAACTGACAGAAGAACCGGCCAGTCTGCTCAGACAATACACAGCCTGTTCATGTGTGTAGATCCAGTTTAATAAATGGTACATTCTATGCTGATCATAAATATGAACTGAATTACAGATTCAACACTGATTAATCACAGAAGGGTTTAAGCTGGGTGGGAGGAAACAAAAGTGCGTTCTTCCTCGAACTAGGATAAATGACCCAGGAATACAAAATCACAGAAATTAAAACCCTTTACATTCAGATAAATGTTGATTAAATGCACAGTCTGACTGAGAGAAGCATGTTTACACACAAAAAAACAGAGTCAACGACAGTAAGGGCGAGGATTAGCGACTGGGAGGAAGAGATGGGTCAGACAGCATGTTAACCTACAGCAGGACACGGCTGCTCAGCAGAGTTCACACTCAGCACAGAGGCTACACATCGAGGACAGCGAAGACAGGAAGCTGGTGAACAAGGTTAAATATGGGAAACCATCTCTGAAACACCGCCCTCTTTCACAATAAAAGCATCCTAATTAAAGCAGAACTTGTGAAATTTGCTACAGCTTTGTCTCTTTTGACCTTTGGCGGCCGTGTGATTAGCGGAGATCATCTCGGTGACAAGCTGCTCACCGTGTCACACCTAAACTTTAACCTTTGACCTTCTGCAGCAGCCAGTCTGCTGATGAGTTCGCCTCCCAGTGTGAACATGTGGACCCCCTCCTAGCTCAGTCTTTTTGTCCCCGTCAGCGCTCTAGTCCTCAGTGTGGTTGTACAGAGCGTCTGCGACAGGGTTTTTGCGGTGGGACGGGGGCACCAGGTGGTCGGGCACCTCAGTGGGCAGTTCGTAGCCCTCCAGCTTGATCTTGATGAGGTGCTGGGCGAGGGCAAACTCCTCGTCGTCCAGCATGCCGTCCCGGTCGCAGTCGGCTAGCTTCCAGATCTTCCCCAGCACGGTGTTGGGCAGCCGCGAGTTCATCATCTCCTTCTTGGCGTTGACGCCGGTGATCTTGCCGTTGATGGGCATCAGTGTATAAAAGATCTCATCGTAGCGATGCTTGTCACGGCTCACAATCCAGTCCTCAGCGTCGGCCCCAGCGCTGATGCCCTCGCCGTATCCCTGACCGAAGGGCCCGTCATGGGAGCCTTCGAATGCGCCGCCCGACACCATAGCTGTAGGCTGCTTGGACTCCTCCTCCCGGATCATCGCCATCAGAACAGCAATCTTTGTGGCCAGCATTTTGTCCACGGACTCGATCAGTTTAATCTTCAGTGACGGGAACTTACTGAAGTCGTAGTGCTGCAGCATGTCCTGCAGGACGAGAGACAGGCAGAGACACCTGAAAATCACAACTACATCAACATGATGATGATACTGGGAGCAAAAAGATGTAAACCGTACCTAAAATATTCCAAAGCAGAGCCAGAACATATGGGTTTTGACCAGACTTTAAAACTGAAATGTGTGATTTGAAGACTAAAACTTTAAGTGAACTGATGAACTCCAGATCTCACCGAGTGGAAACACTGTGAAGCTGAATGCAGGACAAAGCCCCATCAGAAAATGAGACCATGAACTTATGCTGGTAGGGCTGTAACTGATCAGAAGTCAACACGAACACTGATCGTGGTTTCAGCTCATGAATCCATTATTAATACATATACAGTACTTTATACGTCCATGTTTTAGCTCTTTACTCAGCTTGTCTTTGTTTCAAAATAAGAGCGCACTGTCATTTTGAGGTAACTGTATCCATGATTATCAAATCAATCAAAGTCTGTTCAGTAATCTGTGGCGCTGGATGAGATTAAAGTGGATGACTGCAGCCTGATAGCAGCGTGTTAGCCTGAGCGACATGTATACGTAACGTTTTACTTTTTCCATCAGCTCCCACAGCAAACTCATGGAGAAGAACAGAAAAGGTTTCTACTGTGGACTGGCTGATTATCTCATCCACTACAACAAGTCGTCTACAAGCTCTTCAAAACTGTTGCTGCTTTTGTTAATAACCACAGAGAGAGAGCGATGAAAACAAACAGTGTACAAACTTCAGAAATGTGTCAACAAAATGATTCAGTAAAACAAAGAACTGGCTGCAGGGTTTTCCTCCTGCTGTCAGGTCACAGCAGGTGACCTCAGAGGTGACCAACATTAAGTAGAGTCCAAATAAAACTGATATATGATCAGACAGAGCAGAGCGCAGAGCCAAACCTCCTGCCTTCTGCAGCTGGACACAGCGTCCGCTGCTCACCTCTGACATCTGAGCAAGAACATGCAGTGCAACTCTGCCCGTGGATGCAGACACTACACAACATGTGTCCGAGTGTGTTTTTGTGCACGTGCATGCATGAGTACACGTCTCACTCGCAAACTGCAGAGTCTGAAACATCCACATGGATCCAAGTGTAGCTGGGACATGG